TAAATAAAAAAAAAAAACAAAAAACGTTGAAAAAAAGAGTTATAGATAACAGAAGGAAATGAAAACAGAAGGAAGGACTTAATAAAAATGGCAGAAATTAATGAGTTAGTGCTTTTGCAAGTTTAATGATGGGTACTCAGATTATGATTCTAACCACCATTTTATAAATGTGAGATATTTCACAGTAATTCTTAGATCTGTTAAATGAACTATAATATACTCATATAATGAATAAAGAATAAAAAGAATAAGGGGCACCTGGATGGCTCAGTTGGTTAATGTCCAACTATTGATTTTGGCTTAGGTCATGGTCTCACTGTTTGTGAGATCGAGCCTCGCATCAGTGCACAGCCTGCTTGGGATTCTCTCTCCCTCTCTCTCTCTTTGCCCCTCCCCCTCTTTCTATTTCTCTCAATAAATAAACAAACTTAAAAAAAGAATAAGAATCCTATGTACTGCTATGAAAAGATCTCCAGGCAACACTGTTAAGTGAAACAAGCAAGTGCAGAACCCTATATCAAGCTGGCCTATAGTGTAAGAAAACAATGCAGGCAGGAAGTGGAATAAGAACCCAAGTTCGTATTTGCTTGTATTTGTATAAGAGAGATAGATATGTAGAAAATATAGAAAGCTATTACCCTTTGGGATAGTGGGAGGAACAGAATGGATGGGACAGAGGTGGGAGCAAGTTTTTCAGTGAAAATTTTTTTATCATTCTGACTTCTAAACCATGTTACCTATTTGGAAAATAAAATTTAATTAAAAAATTCAAGGCTGGCCCAGATGGGTTCACTGGTAATTCTACCAAACATTTAAGAAAGAAAATATACCAATTCTCTCAAATCTCTTCCAGAAAACGGAAGGAGGGGGAACACTTCCTAACTCATTCTATGAGGCAATATTACCCCAATACCAAAATCAGACAAAGATATTATAAGAGAACTACAGGCCAATATTGCTCATGAACATAGAGGTAAAATATTAGCAAATAGAACCCAACAATGTATAAAAAGAATTATACAACATGACCAAGTGGGATTTATCCCAGGTATGCAAGGCTGGTTCAACATTTGAAAATTAGTTAATGTAATCAATCCATCAGACTAAAGAAGAAAAGTCATATGGTCATAAAAAGATACAGAAAAAGCATTTGACAAAATCTAACATCCATTCATGATTTAAAAAAAAAAACTCCCAGCAAACTAGGAATAGAGAGGAGCTTCCTCAACTTAACACAGAATATCTACAAAATCTATAGCCAACATCATAGTCAATGGCAAGAAACTAGAAGCTTCCCCACTGAGATCAAGAACAAGGATGTCCCATCTCACCACTGCTTTTCAACACTGTATTGGAAGTGCAATTCATTCAGTAAGATAAGAAAAGGAAATAAAAGCTATATATGTGGAAGGAAGAAATAAAACTACACCTGTACACAGATGACATGATTGCCTCTGTAGAAAATCTGAAAGAATCAGAAAGAAAAAACTGTTGGGGTTGGGGAATGGCGCCTGGGTGGCTCAGTCAATTAAGCCTCCAACAGTTGGTTTCAGCTCAGGTCACAATCTCACAGTTAGTGAGATTGAGCCCTGAGCTGGACTAGGCTCCTTGCTGACAGTGTGGAGCCTGCTTGGGATTCTCTCTCTCCCTCTCTCTCTGCACCACCCCCCCCACCCCGCCAAAATAAATAAATAAACTAAAAAAAAAAAAAAAAAAAAAAAAAAGAAGAAAAACCTGTTGGAACTAACAAATGATCACAGCAAGGTTGCAGGATATAAGTTAATGTTCAAAAGTCATTCCCTCTCCTCTATACCAACAATGAACAAATGGAATTTGAAATTAAAAATATATTGCCATTTATACAGGTACCATTAACATCCCCAAAATGAAACTTAGGTACAAGTCTAACAAAATATGTACAAGATTTGTTATGAGGAAAACCATAAAACTCTGATGAAAGAAATAAAAGGAGAACAAAGTAAGTGCATATTCCGTTTGTGGATGGGAAGACTCGATATTGTCAAAATATCAGTTCTTCCCAATGTGATCTATTTGATCTACATATTCAGTGCAATCCCAATTAAATTCCCAACAAGTCATTTTGTGGATTTGAAAAACTGATTCTAAAGTTTATATGGAAAGGCAAAAGACTGAGATTAGCCAACTCATTATTTTTTTAAATACTTTTATTTTTTTGTTATTTATTTTTGAGAGAGAGAGAGCATAGGATGGGCAGAGAGAGCGAGACTGAGGATCCAAAGTGGGCTCAGTGCTGACAGCAGAGTCAGATGTGGGGCTCAAATTTATGAACCATGAGATCACGACTTGAGCTGAAGTCAGGATGCTTAACTGACTGAGCTACCCAGGTACCCCTAGCCAACTCATTATTGAAGAACAAAGCTGGAGGACTGACACTATCTGCCTTGAAGACTTACTACTATCTAAAGCAACAGTAATCAAGACAGTGTGGTACTGACAATAAAGAATAAAGAAATTTTTTTTCCAGTTTTTTTTTTTTAACGTTTACTTATTTGAGATAGAGAGTGCATGCATGCACACACACAAATAGGGGAGGGACAGAGTGGGAGAGAGAGAATCCCAAGAAGGCCGACTTGGGGCTCACGAACCATGAGATCATGACCTAAGTTGAAACCAAGTGTCAGGTGCTTAACAGACGGCGCCCCCAATTGAATCATCTTAAACCACCACAAGGAGCTGCTGGTTAAAGACTCATAACAGGAGTTTGGTGCCCCACCCATATCCTTTTGGGTTTGACCATCATGCAGCCAGGCCCAGCACCACAATGCCTTTTTCTGGGGGCAGAAAGAACCAGGTAATTTGTCTTAAGACCAACTCAAAACCACTGACTGAAGAGAATGGCAAACATTCTTAGTCCCTCGCCCTTGAAGCAAGGTCACTCAAAAGTGACTGTTGTGTTACAGGCCCCCAGAGGCACTAAGCTCCTGACCCACCCTTGATAATGTACCTGTATGGGCTGCCTTCCCTTCCAGTACTTCCTGGAATCACCTCCCATGTAAGCAACTTGTAACTAATCCTCTAATCCTCGTCTCAGGCTCTGTTTCTCAGAGATCCACACCAACCTGCCACATTTTGGTACAGAAAACAAGTACTACCATCCAAAGGAGGCACATAAGGCGACAGGGGTGATATGGGGCACAAGAGCTGGAGACCTCCCAAGATGCTTCTTGGGGGCATCTTTGATCATGAAAGCTCAGATACCCAGCTCAGTGCCAAAGAGACATGTACTCATAAGAGCAAATATACATTATCCAAACTTACAGAAACAAAGAATGAAATCACACAATCAGTGCTTTTAATTCAAAACAAGAAAGACAACTTCATCCTGGCTAGACTTCTTGCACCCATCTGATGGTATCTTCTCTCCCTGAAGACAAAGGAAACCTAGCATTATCTTGAGGTTGCCTGGTGGGCAAGGGATGGGCCCAAAGAGAGCTACAGAATCCCCCTGCTGAATGAACGACAGACACATTTGTGAACTGTGGTGGGGCTGGACACTGAGCAGGTCCTCACTGACAAAATCCTTGTTGATAATGTTGCCTAAGTGGGTGCAAATACAGCAACCAGCTCCCCTACCCTGGGAGTCTCAGGTTCCTTTTGCACTGTGAGGACTGTGGGTTTGGAAGGAGAAAGTGGGCTGAGTTCCACTCCTCATGCTCCAACACTAGCAACTGGTGGACTGTTTTGGGGGCTGGCTGCCGGGGATGGGAGAAACTGGGGTCAAGGACAGGTGAGACTGGTCCACTATGCAGTCTAAATGAGTCACATGGCAGCTCCAGGCACAGAATGTTCTGGGATTCCTCCTCACCACCCTTTGCCCAGCCCTCTTTTCTGCCAGCTTGTCCCGTCCACTTGTCCTGGATGTGGTAGCACAGCAGAGCTGGGAGCAGGCTGGGAAGGAGGCCAATGCCAAGATTCACCTGGCTGTGTGTCCATCCATCCCTGTCCTCCCTCCCTGCCCCTCAGGAAGCCCCATCCCAGTGAGGGGTCAGCGGGGCCAGGAAGCACTGAGTTCCTTCTCCAGACCCTGGACAAACTGGTCATTGAGGAAGAGCAGTTGACCATGGGGCAGGAAGCGGGCAAGGATGCCCTCGATGCGATCAGCCCTAAGCAAGAGGTTGGTGCTGGGGGTAAGCAGCCGGAGGTGATCCAGAAGGAGGCGTGCCAGCAGCCGGAGTGTGCTCTCAGCCAGCAGCAGGTTCTCATGGGCATCCAGCACCAGGGCGAAGCCTAATGAGAGCACACCCAGCCACACCACTGTCCGAGGCTCCTGGAAAGGGTCCCCTGCTGCCAGGCGGAAGGCCCCATGTGGGGCCTCATGCAGGGGCACTGGCTCATCTGAGGACTGAAGCTGCAGATCCACGGAGGTCCGGCCAGATGCCTGCTGCTGAAGCTGGCACATGGATTCCACCTGCCTGGGAAGAGTGGGTGGGTCACTGATTTCTGTCATCCTCATGACCACCCCTAAAACTGAGAGGTGCTATTAACTCCATATCTCAGATGTAGAAACTTAGCCCCAGAGAGACTAAGTGACCTGCCCAGGACCACAGAGCAGGAAGCATGAGCCATGACAGGAATCCAGGCTCCCATCTCCAGGCCCTGAACCATTTCACTCCATGTGTTCAAGAGAAGGCAGGTTTTGAACACAGCTCTTTGAGCCAGGAAAGGGCACCAGGGGAAAAAGATCCTGCCACCACTAGCTTCACAGAGGCTTCCTGAACATAAAGAAACGCAAGCCATGAGAAATGAAGAAATGCAACTGGCCTGTCCAACCTCTCCACCACCATCCTGCAACCCTTTCCAAATAAAAAAGAAAGACCGTCCACTTGGCCATTCAGGTTTTTGAAATCTCTCTCTGATCCCTCCTGAATCACTTTCTAATTTGGGCCATGCACAGGCTGGTTTTAAAGGCATTTAATTTTCTGTGCTACAGGAGGGGGGTGGAGGCCCAGAGGAACAAGGGGATGGCAAGAGGCTAACACAGGACTGCCCATTCGAGAATGTTAATCCCCGGACACAAAAGGCAGAGAGGTCAAGAGATTCTGGCACTGGCTGGCTCCATCTGGGTCTGGGATGGGAAGGTCCAAGGCCAGCCACTACATCTGGAACAGTATTTCCCACACACTGCTCTTTCAGTGGCTTTCAGGAGGCTCTGGGCTCAGCATTCCCATGTATGACATTCTCACTCCTCCTTAGGGATTCATAAAACCTACAGGCATACTAATGGCCCTGAGAAGTCCTGCACTGCAAAGCATGTTCCAGGATCTGCCTGCCTACACCCAAATCCCAGCTCTGCCATGTTCTAGTTACATAACCTTGGGCAGGTTAAGTTCCTTAAAGTCTCTGTACCTCAGTTTATTCACCTGCAAGGTAGGGGTAATAACTGTATCTATCTCAATAGACAGTTACAAGGATTAATGAGTCCATATACATGAAATGCTCAGAACATAAACTCTTAGCACATATGTACAGGCTCAATAAATGCTAACTATAATAGTTAACGATGATGACCGTACTGTTATTATTTCTTTAACCCCTTTTCACATAACGCTTGTGAACAATTGTGGACAGCTCATGGAAACACTACTCTAAAACTCTGTCTCTGCTTCTTAGTCTGATTCTCTGTGCCCCGCAGAAAACCTATCATTATCAGGCATGTGTTCAGTGAAGGCCCATATGTTACCTGGCCACAGCCAAAATCTGCTCCTTTCGAAGGAGCCTGTCCCTCTCAGCACCACGTGGCCGTGGGTCATCAGGTGAATTCTCGGCACCAAAGACGCAGGAGTAGAGCACTCGGCAAAGGCCCGTGTCCTGGGCCTGCGGAGCCCGCAAGTTGTGGATGAGGAAGGCGTGGACCATAGCTCCAGGGCAGGCACTACAGGGAAGCCAGAGACCTCAGTGAGATGGGTGTTAAAGTCACAGGGCAGCCACAAGGCAGCATGTCCAGAGGCTGCTGTGGCTGGACAATGGTGCTCCTCAGCCACCCAAGACACACTCCCCGCCTCGCCATAATGGTGTCTGGTCAGCAGCACTTCTGCCCACAACAAAGTCAATGGTGAAGAAATCTCAATTGCTTCTCTGCCTTTTGGCTAAGGTTAAGTGAAGAAATCTCAAGACAACCCCAAACCTACAAAACTACAAAACAAATGGCCAGGAATCTTCAAAAAGTGTCATGAGAGACAACAGAAGCTGGGGAGCACTGCTCCAGACTGAAAGAGACTAAAGAGAGGAGACCAGCTGAACGCTGCCTGTGTGTGGGATGTGTGTGGGGGATCCCCAGCCAAGAAAGGGGTAGTTTCAACGTACAGCACTAGTAGGGCAACTGGAAACATTCTAGATAATAGTCTTGACCAATGTTACCTAATTTTGAATGTGGGTGAATGTTCTCGTTTTTAGAAAATACACACTGACCTACCTCTAAACATTGAGCTAAAATGGCATCGTATCTGCAGCTAACTTAATTATCAAAGGGTATGAGATAGCTCTTTATAAGAAACTCTTGAAATTTTCTGTAAGTTTCAGATTACTTAAAAATAAAGACTACTAAGTAATGATACTAATAATAAGGGTGTCTGGCTGGTTTAGTGGCCAGCCAGGGATGGAAAGGCAGCGGGTACACAGTAAACAAATATCTGTTATCTGTGATTAAGGGTAAATAGATCGTCAGTTTAGACTGGTCAAGCAGGAAGGTTCGCGAAGGCGCTCTGAGAGCGGGACCCAGCTGACCTGGCGCTGACCTCCGGTGACCCTCCAGCGGCAAGAAGAGCGCGTCATCAGCCTCCGCCACCGCGTCCCCCCTGCCCACAAATGGTAGCGACAAAAACTCTCACGTCACTGCCTCGCGCAACCCTGTGGCGCAGGGCATTTGGGGGGTTGTAGTTTCTTGCTCCAGTCAGACGGACCTAAACCAGGCACCCCGCCCTGAGTGTGCTGTTCCTGAGCCCCGGGGCCGCTGTCCTCCAGGCGTCGTACTCACCCTTCCTTCCCTGCCTGTGGACTTCTGCTAACAGGCCGCAGGACCCGGCAGTGGGAGAGTAATGGCGGCTGCGAAGCCCCTGGGCGCTTGCGCACGCCGGTCGCGAGAGCGCGCACGAGGTGACGCGCGCAAGGTGGGCGGGGCCCGCGCGCCCGGAGTGCTGCTCCGGGAGTGGGGAGGGGCGGTGTTCTGACACCCGGGCCCCCGGCGAGGGCAGCTTTCGCCCTCCGATCAAAGACCCCTTGCTTCGAGCTCCCAGCAAGGCCCATGCCCATTATTTCCAGACAGGGTATGGGTGTTCCTACTCGGAGCCCCTGGACCAGCCGAGCCCCAGGCCACAGCCCCCGTCGACCGCGAGAGGGCGCAGCGACCCGGCATGTGAACCTTCCGGGAAAGGCCGGGCGGCCGCGTAGTTGCGAGGAGGGGTTCGGACCCCGAGGTCCCTGCGAGCCTTCTGAGGCTCGTGACGCCTAAAGGTGCGGGGCTTGTTCTCAAACTGGCCGTTATGCGTGGGAGTGAGTGGGGTGCCTGTTAAAATGCAGGTTCCTGGGCTTCACTTTTGGAAATTGTGACTTCAGGACAAAGATGCATATTTAGGCATTTCTTCGGGGAGGGTTTAGGGTTGTGGGTTCCTGAGGTGGGTTAAGGCCAGGGTTCGGTTTCGAGTAGAATGATTCAAATTTATCCCTGCCCCCCCCCCATCCCCCTAGCCCACCCCTGTCACAAGCTGTGTGTTCCCGGCAGGTGAGTCACTTCGTTGGACCCCAGTGAAGGGTTTAGTAGGCTGACCAGTTTTTCCTTTTGTACTTCCACCTCTAACAAGTTGACCCCTCTTTGAGGGAGGCTGTCAAAGATATAGTGAGGAGATTTATTCTTTCAACCTAAAAGGGGCCTGGCAGGCCATCTGCCTCCAGCCCCAATTAGAGACTCAGCCCAGAGGTGTTTGGGGCCCGGCAAGGTCTATCCTGAGCCTCACTGCCTACCCTGGGCATCCCCACACATGCATGTACACTTTTGCCTTATTAGCAAGTGAACCACTCAAGCCTCCCAGTGTTCTGTTCCTCAGAGCTTCCACACTGGCTGTTCCCTCAGCCTGGAATGCCCTTTCCTCCCCCCTTTTTTCCCCCTTCAAAATGTGCTCAGACCAAAACCTAGGGGAAACTTTCTTGCCTGGACTGCCCGTTAGCGTTCAGCTGCTCTCTTTGCACCCATGGCTGAGGGTCTGCCTGTGGTGGTGATGTCTCCCATGGGGTATACACAGGCCATGGCACACATGTTCCCTCCCCAGGGCCATGCACAAAGTAGGCCTGGAGCCGACAAGAACACACTCCTTGGTGACTGAAGAAATGAAGAGCCGGGGAGTCAAGGTGGGGACCCTGGAGCCAGTCCGCTCCAAGGGCAAGGCATGCAATGGCTACAGGACCTGGGCAGGGCGGCATTGAAGGAAGGCTACAGGAGATGGGCAGGGTCTGACTAGGGCATAGGGGCATTTTGAACACGTACAACATATATTTGTAGATGGAGGGGCAGGCCCAGAGACCGTGTGAGAACTCAGTCACAAGACTGGGGTCATGTTGGCTCAGTTCCTGGTTGCTGGTCCCTATCACGCTCAGCCAGGACCCATGTCTGCCAGCTGATTACAGCAGAGACCTGGCCAAGGGCTGTGGTTGCTTGGGGCCACCTGGCATCTGGAATACAGTATTCCAGACTCTGTCCGTTCCTTTTTTAAAAATTATTTTTAAATTTTTTTTTTCTTTTTAGAAAGCCCAAATGGGGGAGAGGGGCAGAGGGAGAAAGAGAATCCTAAGCAGGCTCCACACACTCAGCATGGAGCCCAATGTGGGGCTCAATCCCACGACCCTGGGATCCTGACCTGAGCTGAAATCAAGAGTCGGACACTCAACCAACTGAGCCACCCAGGCGTCTCTCTGTCCATTCCTTAGGCAGTGAGTCCACTCCCAAATCCCAGGCCACTGAGGGGCTGGCCTCGCGAGGTATGTGAAGGAGACAGCAGTGAAAATCTAGCCTGAGCCACTACTATGCAGGGCTTTGGAGGACCCAGATGGAGGTAGTGTCTTGACAAGTAGCAGAGCAGACTCAGGTGCCATTCCTGACTCTTTGCAGCCTTCAGCCAGCCTGTGATTTCCAGGTCTAAAGCCATGAGCTGAGGACAGTGAGGCAGGAAGGAGCCTGGGTCCCCCAAGATGCTGCAGAGCCTTCTTGCTGAGTGAGGAGCACACACATTTATTTTGTTAAACAGCTGTGTGGGGTTGCCGTTACATACAGTCTAATTCATGCCTAATTGAGGCAACGTGAAGTGGTCAGGGTGTTTCCTGGCATATAGTAGGCACTCAGTAAATCAATGCATGTTGACAACCCTTAATACAGAGGCAAGATAGGAGAAGGTGTCAGAGAGGTGTTGGTCAGCACTGGAAAGCAAATGGGGTGTTCTGGTCTGATGGGAGGCAGAGGGACGGACAGGCTGACCTTCCAGTGCCTCCTGGAATTATAAAACCAGTCCTCACGACAGAATGGAACAGTCTGAGTGCGGTGGAAGCAACATGCGTTGCATGTTCATGTGTGTGAGCCTTTCATAGTGGTTACCCTACAAGTTGCAGCTGGGCCAGGCATACAATAGGTGCAGATGTGGGTTTGTGGGATATGGAGAGTGTGTGTATGTGTGTGTGTGTAAGAGAGAGAGAAACTGAAGAGAGAAGGAAGGAAAGTAAAATAAAGCACTACACAAAAACTAGAGGAGATTGAATGAGGAAGGTGGCTGGATTTAGGGCCTGGCCCACCTGTCTAGAAGTGGCTCAGGATCACACCTTCCTATCATTCCCCCTCTCCTCCCTCTGGCTGTGTGCAGAGGTGCCTATCACCCCACTCCCCAGTGGTCTTCTCAGTGGTCCTCTGAACTGGGGTGGGGGGTTGCCTGTACCCTCTTACGTTGGGCCCCTTCCCACACTCCCATCCTCCACTGCTCCCTACCCATGTCAGGGTGAGGCCTACCCCATGGTGGCAGGCAGCCTGGTGCCTGCCTTTTCCAATGCCCCTTGGTGCCTAACACTGTGATGTGTGCTCGGTGACTGATACTGATTCAACTTGGAAAGCAGTTTCCGTTCCACACCTACCCAAGCCGTAGCAGTGTCCTGATCACCAGTGGGCAGCCTGGCTTGGGAAGCTCTGCTGCTTCTCCCAGATGTTAGAACCAACCCCCAGGTCCTGCTTACACATCTCCAGGGACAGAGAACTCACTCCCTGGGGACAGCCCCTTTAGTTTTTGACAGCTGGGAACCCATATTGAAGGTCTTTACAGACCCTGAGTCCTCAGGCCAGACTAGTTGAGCCACCACCTACTTCTGGATGTGGGGAGGGCAATTGGGTAGAATCTGCCAGCCCCAGGCAGTGGATTTTCTGAATGACTCCCTGATAAGGATGTCTAGCCATTTCTCAAAGAGTAGAATAGCAAACTAAGCAGAAGAAGGGATCTGCTTTTTTGAGAATCCAGGCGGGCTGAGATTAAGTGGATAAGGCTGCTGTAGAATAAAGGGGACCAAATTCAGGCCAGGCTTGTTCTTCCATCCCCCTCCACCTCCCTGGGTCATCTCAGAGATGGCATTGCCCTGTGCGGGCAGCTTTCCACCAGCCACACAGATGGCTTCCTCCTCTGTCTCCACCACATCCCCTTCCACAGCTTCCTAACTGCTACCTGGACTGGTGCTAGTAGACCACCAGCTTACATACAGCATCTGGGCTTTTCTCCTACAACCCTGGGGCTTGCCCATGTGCAGAAAAGGGACAAAACCCTCAGCCTGGACCCCTTTCTTCTAATTGTTTTCAGGCTCATCCTTTTTACCTGTCTGTTCTTTAATCCTCACACTGGCCCTAAGTAGTAACAGCCATAGCCAACTCTTGTATGGCACTCACTGTAGACAGGTTCTGTTCTGAGTGCTTTACATACACTAACTCATTTGATCCAACCCGCAATCCTTTGAAGGAGGGCATTTACAATCCCCATTTTACAGATGAGGAAATTAAGGCACAGTGAACTCAAGTAACTTTCCTGAGGTTACATGCTAAGGGAGATGTGCGTGTCCGTAGATTTCAGCCTGCCCCTCCCCCCACCTTGTGTGTCCCCCTTCCTCCCTGTCCCCTCACAGTGGCCCCAGGGCTGACTCAGCCCCTGCTCCAAATTTCAGAAGACCATAGGCCTCCTCCAACTCCAGCCCTGCGTACCTTCTACAACCTAACCCTGGGAGCTCCATTCCACCCTCAGGGAGCCCCAGGCCCCGTGGAAGTAGTCTTGGCTGGGCTCCAGGAGGAGGAGGCCATGTGTGATTCGTCCTTTCAAACAGCCGCGCTTCCTGCAGGGCTGACAGCCAGAAGGCCCCACGAGGCGGCTGGGACCCGGCCACGTGAGGCTTCCTCCCCTCCGGCTGCCTCAGGCCCCGCTGACTCAGAGCCTGGCAGCCCTCCCAGGGGCGTGTGCTGGTGCAGCTGGGTGGGGCGGCGGCTGCCTAGCGGCACTCGGCTGGCACCCACACCAATTCCTGTGTGGGCTGGGCAGGAATGCTTCTTACCTTCTGTCCCGTAACCAACTGTCTCCTTTGAACAATCGGCTGTGAACAAGTCCACGTCCTCCAGCGTTCTCTCAAGGCATGGCTTTCCTGGCTGCAGAACAGCAACTTCCCCGTTATTACTCAACTTCCCTCTCCTGATTGTTTCCAGATTCCATGAGACCGTGGACCTCCTTGTCTAAACATCCCTCCTTTCTGTACTAACAGTTTCATTGCCTCTGGAAAGTGGGCGCCTATGTGTTCGATTCCAGATACGAAGACTTTTTAGAAATCCCAAGTTTTCTAGACGGCTGTAAGCTGTCGTCAATGGATGGGCTCAAGCCAATGACGTACAGCCAACTGACTCTGAGGAGTCACTTTAACTTTTTGGAGAATCTGACTTGAGGAAGAAATTAAGACCAATATTTCAATGTAGGAAAGTCAGAAAACAGGCTGGGCTCATAATGCTTGAGCCTTGCTGCTGCCACACCACAACGTGTAGGTCCAGCACTTAACAGAGCTCTTTGCTATGTACAACGGTCACGTTTTCTGGTTAAGAGAGAAAAATTAAAATTTACCAATTGTGATGAGCATACGGGGCAGCAGAATTCTCATTCTGCTGGTAGAAAACGCTAAAGCTGAGCAAACACACTATGACCCGGCATTTCCACTCCTGGGGATATTGCCAGTACCATTTGAAATCACCTCAAATAATCCATCAAGGGCAGAATGAAAATGTTCTATACCTGATTGTGATGGTGGTTACACACTGTCTGCATTTGTCAAAACTCACAGACTTGTACACTCAAATGGGTGAATTTGATATATATAAATTATATCTTCACTTTTATTTTATATATTCTTTAAGTAGGCTTCATGCCTGGCACAGAGCCCAATGTGGGGCTTGAACTCACGACCCTGAGATCAAGACCTAAGCTGAGATCAAGAGTCAGATGCTTAACTAAGCCACCCAGGCACCCCTGTATCTTAATTTTTTAAATGTAAAAACCAGAAGAAAAAAATTTAGAATGAATAATTCAATTTAGGGGTATAGTCACACAGTGGAATACTATTCAGCAATGAACAGGAACAAACCGCTGCTAAAGGAAACATAAATGAATCTCAAAGTCATGCTGAGTGAAGGAAGCCAGACGTAAAGGTATGAACTGTATGATTTCATGTATATGAAGCTCAAGACAGGAGAAACGAATCTACCTGACAGAGGTCAGAATAGTGGGGACCCCTGGGATGCAGACACTGGGAGGAAGCAAGAGAGAGCCTCATGGAATTCTAGAAAAGTCCTTTATCTTAGCTGTGTAATGGTTCCTCGGGTCTGTGTTCTCTGCTTAAGATGTGTGCCCTTGATGAGATGTTGATTATTCTTCAATTTAAAAAGAAAACATTTTTTAAAATTGTTTTTGCAAGTGACCCAGTGAGCGATTCAGCTGGTGTCCACACCCCACTAGTGCCCACTGACTCGGTCAGCTTGGCACAGGCCAGCTTCCCACCTGTGCCTGGCCCTATGATGCTCTTTAACTACCCTGGGCCAGGCAAAACAACCTTCAAAACTGGCCAGCAGCCCAGGATTTTAAACTGCTTCCTTGCCTGATCTGCGTCCCTTCATGAGCATCCAGGAAAGAAGTTATCGCTTCTCTTGCTAGGGGGAGGAGAGATTGGGGCACCTCTGCCCCATCCCCTGAACTCCAGGGGTAGATGGGGTCCTGGCCCGAGCTGGAGAGGCAAACCTCTGGCATTCCCTCTCCTAGACTCAGGCCCACCCCCATCAAGGTATATGTGAGCACCAGGACCTTCTCTGGGGGAAGTTTTGTTTCCTGGCTTGACCAAGGCCCTCTCCCTGACTCCTCCTCCTCTTCCCCTGCAAAATGAGCTATATACCTACCTGGTAAGCTTAGGAGACAACGTGTAAGTGTCTGGAACAGTGTGAATGCCCCATGACCACAACTATGGCTCCGATGGTGGGATATGAGGAGGACAGATGTAGTCTCAGATGTCAGCACCTGGCACACAGCCTATGTGTTTACACTCAACACCCATGGCTCTCTCCTCCCACGTGGCCTGACCCTGACCCATGGGGTGGAAAGAGGACACTCAGAGTAGAAACCAGGCAACCTAGCCCCACCCACTTGGCTTTTCTGGGACCAAGGCAGGAGGTGAGAAGTGGGAGAGTCCTAGGCAGCTGGAATGCCTGCTCTGCTTGTATCTGCTGTGTGACTTGGAGGCAACCACATGCCCTCTCTGAGCATCCAGCAGCCTTCCTCCTCTATAAACCAGGAAGGAGGGAGTGGGGCTTCCTGGAACCACCTAAGCAGAGTGGAGCAAGCAAATCTTAGTAGGACAGTGCCCGGGGCCTTCCCCCCCACTCCCCATTTCTCCCTGTTCCTCAGGGGTCTACACAGATACTTTTTTTCTGGGGCAAGTCCCCTTACCCGAATAAATGCTACCCTTGGTGTCAGCTGCCTGATCAGCGGATAGGGCTTTTGGAGCTTTCAGAGCCCCTCCCTCCCTGAGCAAAGGCCCAGGCCCCCAGACCATCAAAGTCACACCCCAACACACATGCATTGTGCCCTTGCACGGGGCCTGGACCAAGAGGGAAGACCAAGCCTTTGGGCGTAAGAATCTTGGAGGAAAAGCCGGAGACAAGGCAAGCATTGTTTAGACTCAGCCTGGGAATCTGGAGTCCTTTATTGCTCTGGTAGGAAATAGCCTCCATTTTCCCATCTACAAAATGGAGTGAATAATCGTTAGCACCACCTACTTCAGAAGGTAGATGAACTTTGACAGAAAGTGGTAATGATGCCCCACATGTTTGACACACTCTGTATCAGGTAGTACCTTATCTGTACATGTGTGCAAAGGAGGCCCGGCAATCACAGACTCGCATTTGGGGGCAAGGGTCACCTGCAGTGGTGTTCTGAGGGAATTTCCTGAGACACCAGGTTTGGGCCTGGGACCCGTTCTCCCAGATTGGCCCTTTTCCACTCTCTTGATCTTGAACTTGGCATCCCCCTATGTGGTGGAACCTCTGTGGGGTGCTGGGGCCGCTGAGAGGAAAGTCAGTTTTCTGACAGGGCAGGAAGGCTTCTGGGAGGAGGTGACATCTGAAATTGAGTCTCAAAGGAGGAATAACAGGGAGAGAACATTCCTGATGATGCAGCAGGTGCAAAGGAAGGAAATGTGAAGAGCAAGGCATGGGGATTTGAGTCAAATGAGGTGAGGAATGGGCCTGGGGAGGGCCCAGGTCCTAAAGGGCCATGCAGGGATAAGTTTATCCTAAGGGCAGTGGGGAGCCACTGACAATTCTTGAGCAGTGACAGGGTCACTTTGGTTATTTGGTGCAGTTTAGAAAGGGTGAGCTTAGAGGTGTTTGAGTAGACACACGAAGGAGAGGCAAGGCTGCCTTGGGAAGAGAACATGAGGCCACCTCTGCAGGAGTCTTCCGGCCCCCATCCACTGACCTGTGGCCATCCTACCCCCCGCATCAGCGTCTGCCATGGTGTTGTCAAGGGCCCATAGGACACAATGCTGGTTACTCAGCTTGCTCAGTGCTTTATTGAACCAAGGCCCAAACAGATGACTCATCTGGGCCTTCAAGCACAGCCCCCCACACATCCTGAGATTCGGAATCCGGACGTGGCTCTGTCCTTGGCTTCGCTGCTTCTATAACATTTCATCTTGAATATTTCCAAACCTTAAAGTGTAAAGAGTTTGTCCACACAGACAGACACATATATATTCTTGCCGCAGGCTGTCATGCTCACTGAAATGCTTCAACTCAGCAGTTTGTGTGTGCAAGGCATTGGGCATCCATGGCTATCCATCCATCCATCCGTCATCCGTCCATTCGTCCATCTGTCCATCCACAACAAGACAGCAGCAAATTCTGACCAGTCAGGCCCCGGGGTTCACAGCAGTGAGGTCTGGACTTCCAGGGGCTCAGGATGCAGGCCTTAGCCCTGGCCCAAGGGCCCCTGAAGAGCTAGGGTCAAGTGGCTAATTAATGTTCAGAGTCTCTAACCCCAGCTGGAGAGGGGAGCCTAATCCTCAGCCTGTGAATATCCTGAGATGGTCAACAAATCAGACAAATGAATCAAGCGTGCGGGTAACACTGAAACAGGAAAGAGTAAGAGGTTATGTTTGTGCTGGAGGTGTTCATGTGGAGGGACAGGAAAGAGAAAGAGAAAGAAAACATGGCAGACACACCCAGGAGTGCTAGAGAGGGCCCGGCTGCAGTGTCAGCTCCCCTCACAGGGAGGAATTCTGCCTTGGCCCATCCTGGGGGGCTGTGGCTTTCCTCTGGCCACATACAAACCTCTGGCCCTCTGGCCCTAGAGAAAAGGTGGGTCTTTTCTGGACATGGGAAGACAAAGGGTTAACTCAAACAAGGAAGGAAAAAAAGCAAAAAAGGTCCCTGCTGGACACAAAATACTTCCTTAGAGCTCGACATAATCCAATTTCACCAAATCAACAGGCTGGGCTCCTCCAGGGGCTGGGCTGGGGTGGGGGTGGGACAAGGGTCTGAAGTATGATTGAATGGAGACATGGGGACCAGGGCTGGGGGCAGACAGACAGGACACCCTCACTGCCCTTCCCCTGGATGGCACCTGGGGCCTCCAGCAGACCCTCAGCCCTGCAGGGCCCTAGGTGGCTGGCACCCAGGCCACGAGGAAGAGAAGGTAGGCAGGACTGGTGCTGGCCTTCACTGGTCCTGCAGGCGGCTACAGAGCTCCCGCCGGCTCCTCTCCCCAGCCCAGCTGCGTGTCTTCAGACGGAAGGTCTTCAGCTCATCCTTAAAGGCCTCATGGTTCATGGGCCGGTAGTCCTGGGGCTCACAGAAGGTCTAGGGCAGGATGGGAGAGTCCATCAATACGGGGAATGGTTAACTCTGAGAGGAGACCTCCCTTCTCCTTGGGCAGAACCCATTCCCTACTGTCCAACCCTCCCACACCCCATGGTACCGGGTGCTGGGGGAAGAACTCCTTATAGCCGCCCTTGAGGATATACATCTCAGGATAGTAGAGGCTGGGATAGTCGTTGGCGGCTCTGTCACGCTCCCTGATGAAACGGCACCTGAGACCAGCAGGGGTGTAGGGGTCAGAGCTGGGCGTGCAGCGGGATATACCTCAGGGAACCTATTCTTTGCACCCACCCCTTTGTGGGCCATGGGGAGCCACAGAAGGCTTGAGTAAAGGAATGTCAGCCACAAGAACACTCTTAGATCATCTGGCTACTGGGTCCAGAAAAGGTTGGGGAGATGGAAGAAAGGAGGTAAATCAAGGGAGTTGTTTCTAGAAGATAGTTCACAATCTTTGTTAGAGATATCTGACCTGGACCAAGAAAGGGGAAACAGGAAGGAGAGAAGTAGACAAAATTGTAGAGATCTGTTCAGGAGGTCTGGACAAGACTTGGTGAGGATGAGAGGTGGGGAGAAGAAAGATCCGTCAAACCCTGGAAGGGTCAACATCACCGAGGTTTGGGACAGGGCCCTTGAAGGTTAAGGACACTTTTGGAGACTTACAACCAGATCTTGGGGGGGGGGGGAGGGTGGCAATGGATGGTGGGCGGACATGAGGCCAGATGGGAAGGATGGGGAGAGGGAAGTAGGAGGAGGGTGCCATGCAAAGGAAGGGAGGCTGAGGTCTGCTACACACTGCCAGGAGACCAGAGGCCCAGGTCTAGGAGGGGCTGGGGCTGGGCTCGGGCCTCCTGTGCATCAGATGGCTCCAGCATCCCAAAGCCTGGGCAGAGGTCAGGAGCAGACACCCGCTGGCTGACTCACATGCGGGGACCGCGTTCAGATGAGAATTCACAGTGGAAAATGAGGATGATTCTCTTGTCCAGATTACAGGGTGTGATGGGGCTCTGTAGCAGGAAGGTCTCAGCATCCCGTTCCAGGGGCAAGTTCACGGCAGTCTGCCAGAGGAGCTGGAGGTCAGGCAGTAGCCCTGGGCCTGGGTGGCAGGTCCCTCCCTGTGCGGTTCCCAACTTTCAGACAGGTGACCCCACCTCTTACTGGGCAGAATCCTTCCCTAAGATAGGGTGCAGCCACCCCCCCACTGAGTCACTCTCCCCGCAGAGGAAGGACAGACCTGGTGGGTCTTCAGGGCCTGTCCTCATCAGCCCGCCTCACCTTAATGTGCCCGCCTTCATACTCGTAGGGGTACCTGCAGTCCACAATCACAAACCTCTCCACAATATTGCTGAACTTGCCTGCCAACAGGGCTGCCATCTGTGGGTCACAGAGGTGGGTCCCAGCAGGTCAGGCTGACAGGTGGGAGCTGACCCCAACCCTCCCGCTGCCTTGGCCTTTTCCAGCCATAAAAGGTTAACAGGCAAACGTCCCAAGTGTGCCTGGAGAATGGCTCATCCCCACATACCGTTTCTGGTGAGATGTACTTGAGATCTTGGTGCTTCCCATCCACAGTCTGCAGAAGGAAGGCCTGAAGGGAAGAGGAGAGAGAGTTTGAGAAAGGGAGATGGGAGAAAGAGAGAGAGAGGAGAAAAAAAGGTGAAACTGGCAAGACCAGGAGTCAGGTAAGTATGGAGTTTCTTTTCTAAGCATAGAAGGCCACACCTGCTCTGACCTTCAAATTTAGCTCTGGTTCCGATAGCAACCAAGAGGTGCCTCTTGGGTTCTGACATCCAGGGAGCAACCCCTTTCCAAGGGGAAAGTGAAGAAGAGAGCAGAAGAGATGAACTCCCTGCCTGCTGCCCCCACACTCTGCAAAGCGCCCGGATGAGGCCAGAGGAGGCTCCAAGCTAGATGTTAGTTTGGAAATGTTTTCCAAGGTTGGAACACAACTGATACCCCAGACAGATTTGAGGTAGAGTCAGGAGACCAAAGAGAGCCAGAGAGAGGAGTCTAGGTAAGAATAAAGGATAAGCTGCAAATGACATAGCAGGGAGTGGGGGGAAGTGTGCTGGGAGGGGAGAGGAAGGTGCCAAAACACCTGCTGAGCTTGGGGGGGCCATACAGTAAGGGGTCAAGTCTGCGGAGGGTCCCCAGTGCTGGTACCTTGGAGTAATCCCCAATCAGTTCTCGGTGGTCACTGTCCAGGATAGTCTCAATCTCATCATGACACAAGGACTTTGAGCGGAGGACACGGGCTTTCTGTGGGGTGGATGGTGGCCAGGATCAGGGGTGGGGAGGCTGCCCCTCAGTGCCCCCATTCAGCTGGTACCTCTTTCCCTGCCCCCTCCCTCTGCCACAAACCCAGCCAAGAAGGGCTTGCGGGGTGGACTCGGACAGTGGCCGCCCAGCCCCACCCTAGGGGGTACCCACAGGTTCCTCGGCCTCCCGTTGCTCCTCTGGAGGGGTGACGCTCTTCCTCCGCTTGTTCTGTATGGGCAGGTCCCTGTCGTGGGGCCGCTCCAGCCTCTTGAGGATGGGTCGGATCACGCTGCAGGGCATGGACGGAGAACGGAAGAGCCGCTGGCACTTGCTGTATATGATGAGGTCCTGGGAGGGGTGGCAGGTAGGGGGTCAGAGTGCCCAGCCCCTGCCCCCTACTAACCCCACCTGGAGGGTAGGGCTCCACCCCTCCAAGTTCTGAGCGCCCCCCCCCCCAGAAACCCACCTGCTCTTGCTCCTTTTCTGAGGTCTTGACCAGTGGGGCGCTAATGAGGCTCTCCATGCCTGGGGGGACCACATTGTCATCCTGAGGCCAAATCAGCAAGGATATGGTTAACATGCAGGCAAAGGCCAAACCGCGTAGGCCCTAAGTCCTTCAGCATGGCCCTCCTCGGCCATGTCCACACAGGGTGATCCCTTAGAACCAGGAAATTGCAGGGCCCCACTTGTTTGCACAGAATCGTGAGAAGCGTGGCCATGGTGGAGTGCCAGGCTTCCCTCTGCCCTGCAGGGCCCTCCCTCAGTGCATCACCAGTGCCAGTCGCCTGCTAGTCTCTGGTAGGCCAGAGGTCAGGCTGTGACTCCATTAGCTCCAATTCCTCTTCTGTCATTGGAATGATGGCGTAGTCTCCTTGCAGGAGGTCAGTGCTTTCCTCTTTGGGGAGATCCTGGGGAAAGACTGGTTACCTTTAAGTCACTCTCCAGGATGTCCACAAATCCATCATCTTCCTCAGAGGACCCCTGGGTGGCAGTCAGGGGGAAGCGGGATCGGGCTGGGGGACTCCACTCCTCTATTTCCATCTTCCGCTCAGGGGTGAGACACTGTGCAGGGGACAGACACAAGCTGCTCAGGGTGGGGACCCCGGGCAGCCCCCAACCCCATCCTTCTGAGAAAAGGTTCCCACTGCCTCAGGGTTCAGGATCACCCTCCACCTTCCCCCAGGCTGCCTTCAGGGGTGCCAACCCTACATGCAAGCCCACCCTGCATGGTCTGGCTCTCTTGACGTACCATCAGATCGGGGGCTGAGCTTGGTCTCTGGGCAAAGGCTTCTCTTCGGTCAGCCCACTCTTCCAAAGCATGGGCATGGCTGGGATGTGGGGGTTTCCATGGCATCTTGAAAACAAATCCATCCTGTGGGCAAGATGGGGGGGGGGGTGTCATCAAATGCCAGAGAACCACCCCAGCACACCCCCTTCTCTCCCTGAAGTGCTCCCACTCCAGCCTTCAGGACGCGCACATTCTCTTTGTCCTCCCCAGAGCTGCGGGCAGCTCGGCCACACGCCTCTCTCTTCCTCCAGCTGCCAGGTGCTTGGGAGTTGGTGATGTTCCGTAGCACAGGGCTGTGGCCCAGAAGCCTCACCTAGAGAGCCAGGTAGGGCAGCAGGTACTGAAGGCTGCATTCCTCTGGCATCAGCCCTGGCCCTACCTTCTCCCATCCCTCCTTCGAATCTCCCAGCTTGCCCATCCACCTCCAAAACCCCATCTCCCACAGCCAGACCAGGGACGCCAGACCACTTCAAGTCCACCCTCTGGGAGGCGACCCTGGATCCCTCCTGCCCCTCCTCAAGCCTGGGCAATGCCTGGGCCTCCAGCGTCAGGCCTCAGAGGGCACTCACCGGTAAGGACTGGAAGCGTCGAATGGCAAACTGCTCGCTGCAGAAGGAAACAGGGATGTGTCAGGGCTGAAGAGTAGAGGGCTGTGCAGGAGAGCAGGCAGGATGCCCCTCCACTGCAGAGCCCTATGCATCCCTGTGGGAGGGAATGGGACAGCACCCTCCCCATGCCTACTCCACCCAACGCAGGGGGGTGGGGGGGTGGAGGGGAGGGGAGCATGGACAGAGCCTGTGGTAGGTAGACTACCAAGACTACCAGAGCCTGCCTGAGGAAGGCTGTAGCACTTACTTTCGGATGACCCGGCTGGCTGCTTGGATGGCCTGTTCAAACCTAAGAGAGAGAAACGTCCTGTGCAGCCCACCTCCTCCTATAGCACATTGCCCACCCCCAGCATCAGGCCCCCAGTCCACAAGGCCTAGAGGCCAGGACTCAGGCCAGTAGACAGTGGAGGGAAGAATGCAGGGAGGGGGTCCAGGTACTGGGGAGGGGGGAGAGGAGAAGCAGCCTGGGATTTTGAAGGCTGCCCTGAATGGAAGAGGGCCCAGAGAATGGCAGCAATAGAGACAGCTGGGGCAGGTCACAGGGTTGCTGAGGCGCTACCAAGGCAACGGTCTCGCCAGCCTGCCCACAGGCCTTCCACCTGTATGCAAATCACCTCAGCGGGGCCATATGGTGGCCAGGAAAGGCATCCATCCATCCCATGATGACAGACTGTGGCCAACAATGTGGGTATCTCCAGGGCCTGGATGCCTTCCCTCCCCTTGTGTGGGGCGCTCCTGGCTCCCCCCAGGACAGGGGCCTAGTATAGTGTGCCCCTGGATCAGCCACAGTGTGCCATGCCAGACCCCCTGGTGACAAATGTTCAGGGTCACATCCTCTCCTCCCTCCTATGGAATTTTCCAGGACCCAGCCTCTGTCCCACCCCCTTCTCCTGCCTTAGAAGAGGCCAGCAGGCAAAGAATTCCAACAGATGTTCCTTTTGAGGCTGGGGCACAAGCTTCTGTAGATAGGCCCCACCCCCTAGCTATGTTACCAGAGACCACCTGCCACGCAAGGCTTTTGTGCGTCTATGTGAACGCAGGCACACACACACACACATGCTTCTTTCTGAGAAACTGTAACCGACACAGCAGGTGCAGAGGTGGGGGGGCCCACTGAGGGCTAGCGTCAGGGGGATGACTCCTAGGGGTGGGGAGTGGTTGTGCCCAGACAACCTGGCATCAGGAATGACCACGTTGCATTGGCTTCATTTACAATATGCACCTGGGCCTCAGGAGTAAAGCAGGGACAGCTCTGTGTTGTCACCAAAAACCAACCTGCAGTCCCCCCACCCCCACCCATTTCTCTCCCTGCTTCCTGTTTGTGAACAAACCCTGTAGCCCAGCCCAGTCTGATCAAAGGCAGTGGGAGGAAAGATAGGCACTGCTCTGACCCCAAAGCCATAGTCCCTCAGCCCAGTCTGGGGATGCCCAGCTGTCCCCACTAAGGCCTGGCAGCTGCTCTCCCTGCTGGGGCTCTAACAGCTGGATGGGAGTAGCTGTGGTCTGGAAGATACTACTCATGCCCCACAACCAAGGGGAAGGGATCTGTCCTCAGCAGAACTCTCTCTCCATGCTCTCTCTAATAAAGTGCCTGGTCCAGAGGTTGCCTATAGGATGGCCAAGGGCTGGACCAACATGCCCCAACTGTTTTGTTTGGCCTATAGCAAATTCAAAGTTTTGAATCAATTGGACCATATTTTAAAATTGTTATATTTCACAGAAAAAAAAACAAATAAACATCTGTATAGGCAAAAGAAAAACAGGACACACACCAGGCCTGTATTCCCACAAGCCAAGGGCTGGCTGAAGTATCCACTGCTCCAGAAGCCACTATCCCCACTACCTGGTCCTGAGACCACAGTTGGCTGCTATTATAGGAGCAGACCCTTTTCTGAGACAGGAAGCAAAGTCTCAGGACTTGGGAAGGTCAATTAGTACCAGGTATATGGGGATAGGAGGGGTCTGGGCATTCTCCCAGGCTTCCCCAGTGGGTTTATGATGAAACTGGGATTCCCAAAGGCAGGTTCCAACTCCTTGGTAGTGGGGATCTTTTCACTTTTTTTTTTTTTTTTTTTTTTTTTTTTTTTTTTTTGAGAGAGAGAGAGAGAGAGAGAGAATATCTTAAGCAGGCTCCAAGCTCAGCATGGAGCCTGACAAAGGGCTCAATCCCACGACCCTGGGATCATGACCTGAGCCAAAATCAAGAGTCGGATGCTCAACCCACTGAGCCACTCAGGTACCCCAGTGGAGATCCCTTTTCTGTACTTACGTCTGCTCTGCCATCTGGGGATCCATGGGGCTGGGAGAATCCATGCAAAGACCTGAGGGGACAGAGCATCTTGGTTTGAAAGTAGTGCCCATCTTCTGCACTTTCCCCCACCATGTCCCAACCCTATTCAAGAAAGAAAAAACCTGTTTCTATTTTAGATCTTGACACATTAAAAAAAAAAAAAAATGTAACAGGGCAGAGAGAGGGAGAGAGACAGAATCCCAAGCAGGCTGTGTGCTGTCAGCATGGAGAACTTGGAGATCATGACGTGAGCTGAAATCAAGAGTCTGAAGCTTAACCAACTGAGCCAGTAGGTGCCCCTCCTCTGTATGGGTTTTTAAACCAAAATTTTGCTAAGCATTTTTCTTAAACTGGTTTAAAGTAATTTGTTCTAGAAGAGATAACAGCTTTTGAAAGAAAAGGTTATAGCTGAAGGCAAGCGAATGTTATAAAATGACCAAGTTTCAGCCCTAATGCCTCCCAGGTGGGGCTGTGGTTCAGGGACTTTGGCGCCTGGTTTTAAATAGGTAAGATCTCCTCTCCCCAAGTGGGCCCCGCCCTACAGCCCGCTCAGCCAGTCTGGGCTGGGTGTGGTAAGCCCCACCAGAAGTGGGCAGGTGGAGGCTCCCAGTTGTGGGGAAAATGTTAGTGTGATTGGCAGGGAAGTGGGGAGACTCAGGCAGCCCCCCAAGTCCCCCGGGGCCCTTGAGACTCACCTGCATCAGAAGATTCAGAGGACTCAGACGACAGGGAAGATTCAGATGCTCGTCTCCGGGACACGGATAGGCGTGTGAGCAGGCCGCCTACCTGACTCTTTGGGGTCTCACTGGGAAGGCAACAGGGACCCAGGGAAGGAGAAATGTAAACATGGGGCTCAAGAGCTGGCTGGCCCATGTTCCCACTGGCCACACCTCTGAAGGGCCCACCACTGCCCCAGAGAGGCGATGGCACTGAGGGCTTACCCTCTTCTCTGGGCCTTCTGCAGAAGCCCTAAGTGTCTTTTCTTTGTTGATTAAGAAAGAGGTGAGCCCAGAGCAAGAGCAAGAAGCTGGGCTGGAGGCCACTCTGGGGGATGGCAGGGCAGGAAAGGAGCCCTGGGGGCCTTCATCAGAACTCTTCAGACCCCTACCCATCCACAAGCCTTTCTGGAACTAGGACCAATACTTTAGTCTCTATTGCTGCTGAGGGCAACCCAGTCTGGACACTGCAGGCCTGTTCAGGAAGCAGGACCAGTGTTTAACCCCTTAACCCTGGGAAAGGACTAGGGGTGGAGGGAGCAGGGGCATGGACATAGGAGAACCAGTCTGTTCTGCCACCCTCAAGTTCCCACTCCAAGCTCAGAATCCCCTGCCTGGGGCAAAATAGTGGTGATTAGGGCAGAGATTAGGGGGGCAGCGGGGGAGGGGGGGAGCCGGGAAGTGGGACAGTGGTCTCCAGAGGCTTGTGCTGCCAAGAGCAAGTCACCTGGAGGGTGTGAGCAGCACAGACCTGGCCCCATTGCCCTAGTCCCGGGTCCCTGAAGCAGGCTCTTACCCAGGACACCTCCCCACTCAGCCTCTCGATTCGACTCCCACGCCGGGGACCAACACCCTAGTGCGGGCCTCTCACCCCACACCCCGCGTCGGTGGGGCGCCCTACCTGCCCAGCCCGGCGAGGTTGTGCATG